CCACCTATAATATTCAAACACTTATACTTTTAGTTAATTTCATATATTGTCACTAAAGTTCGTGAAATTAGAGAAATTTCAAATTGATCCTTACATCTATTTAATATGACGTAGAAGCCATTCAACATTTACATGCATTTCAATTTTTATATTTATCGCTTCCTTCAACTGTTTACATGCATTTCTGTTTATTGAGACATTTTCACTATTCCTCCCAAAAAGATAGATTTGTTTATATTTTCACACAGATTAATAAAATATAATTTTTTCTTAATAATTTATAAAATAATGATTTAAATAAAATTAATTTATATTTGTTGATAACAAGGTACATTAAATAGATACATGTTAGAAAGCTAAAAAAAAATCTACTTTAAATAAGAAAAAATGTCGTATAATTTGGGATAAAAGAAAAATAAAGTCAAGTCTACCTTTAGGCGATAGTTTTAGGGAATACTTCAGAATTTTTTATTGAGCACAGTGTTTTTTGGCCTTTCAAGAATAAAGTATTTTAAAGATTTGTCATTTCAAGACTATAATGATACAATAATTGTTGTCAACGTCAAGGTTTAATGGGACACAATGGATCTGGATGGAGAGTCATCAATTATGTAAATAATTAGCAAAAACTGTACTTATAGAGTCTCTAGTTTAACTTTTTTAATAATTAAACCTCTATTTCACAATCATTAAAAAAAAAAAATTAAGAAAAAAGAGTTTTGAAATAGTAATTTTTTGAAGAATACATGGTTAAAATATTGAAAAAAAATTTAAGTTTATATGCAAAATATTATATTATGAAAATGTGATAGAAAATGAGTAAGAATTTTTTTTTTTTTTTTTTTTAAAAATGGTTGTCAAACCGGGACTAGATAAATAAAATAATTTAAGGGACAGTTTGAAATTGTAGTTGAACATTAGTGGCCATTTGTGAAATTAAAACCTCAATTCTTTTCTTTGACTTGGAGTAAGCTACTTTGCTTGTCCCGCCTACTGGCCTCTCTCACGTGCGGCTTCTCTTGCTATGGTAAAAAAGATTGAGACATTTCACCTATTATTTACAGCCATCTAGATTGTGTTTTCATCTCCACTGGGGATGAATAACATTACTCTTCCTCTCTTGCCCTTTTTTCCACTTTGAATTCTTTTTAATCATTTATACACAATATTTTGTTACGTATGTTTACCGTTCCTTTTTGTATGATATCGAGATCAATAGATATAAATGTTTCCAAAAAGTTGGGAGTCGTTGCTCCCACTTGCACTTTGTGTTTTTCAAAGGAAAAAGTTCTCGCTCAAATACTTGAACTCGGGGCTTAAGTGGGTGGATAGGGATTGAATGATAGAGATCGCTCTCACAATATTTTCAAAATTTTTTATATCAATATAAAAACTTTTAATGCATACATAATACATGTATACCTCAATAAAAATTTTCCTTATGTAAAAATTCTGACTCCGTCACATGTTGGGCAATGGGCATAGAAAGAAAAGTTGAGTTTAACAATGAATGCACGGCTCAAGAAAAGTCTATGCAACCTCTTTCAAGTTTCGATCATGTATGTGTCGCCTCTTTAGTTTAATGCTATGGTCTTCCAAGAAGAGAACAAACAAAGGGTAGTGGTCAAATTAGTACTACGATTCAACAATATAATAGATAAAAAATGGAAAATACTACATGTACATAAAGGCGTACACTCGGGTTTACGCTCTCCCTCACATGAATTATGCTAGATGTACACTTTGGTATACATCATCAATAACATTTTCCCTTAAGTAGAGGGAATCTATGCAATGCTGTAAATTGTAATGTTTGTTTTTAAAATCAATTGTGTAGATCATGTCACATGGTAGAATGTAAACAAAAGTGCAAACTAAAGAGTACATGTAACATGGTTGTCCTCACATTGTGCGTGAACCCCCCTCCATGTGAGGGGTCGTAAACTCTAATGTACATCTCGAGCTGTACAAGTATCATTTTCCATAAAAAAATATTTATCTATATTTTCATAACAATTAATTCAACTTCTAAAGATGTAAAATTATTTTTATGGTACCACCGTTAGTAGAAAAGAAATAACTAGATTCTCGCATTATTGTGTTTCATCGACACAAAGAACTTAAGTTGAATTAACTTGTACTCTAATTATGAAAAATTAATTTGTGGC